CCAAAGTTATCCTCCCTCTATACATTTTCTCATGATAGGCTCCGTTCTAATTGCTCGTGTCCACGGTTAACGTTAATATAGACGTTGTTACCATTTTCAGGATCTCCCATCGACTGGATAAGTTGACCTTCCTTTGTGGCATCAGAAACAAGAACGGCAACGAGAAAATATCCAACTTGGAAATAAGCAGTCATCTGGAACACATTTCTTTATGGCTATTTTCTTTATTTAGTCAATAAAATAGCTTTCACCGCTATCATAGGTTCATTTAAATCGCTTTCAGAATTACGGCAAGTAGCAATTTTTGCAGTGGGTGAAGAGTACAAGAACGCTAAAGATCGATAGTCATACAAAGCCCTTATCCGTTCAGGTCGTAAAGGATTGTGGTGGACAAGGACAGGGGGGGGAGATATGGGAAGCACTCAATGCAGCTCATGACGCATAGTCACCTGGCCCCCAGGGGCACGCAGGGGTGGAGGAAAAACCTGAATTTTAACACAAGTGCTCCACAAAAGGTTCGGTGTCAACTCACGGGAACAGAATACCTGAGACATTAAAAAACAAAAACGATACTTTTGACCAACAGGCAACAAAGTCTTACAGGACACTTGAGTCCCTTGTTCAGGTTACATATATATTATTATAGATCATTTTTATTGTATCGCAAGTCATAATATGGAACTTCTGGTCAACAACTAAACTGTCCGATATGAGTTTAAAGAATGGCACCACCCCCATGGACCATGATTAGAAATGGAATCATACTCTACTCTCAAGATGGTTTATTTTGTCCCAGCAAGATGTACCTGCTGGAGGAAACCGTGACTGGTCTCTCTTCTTATCTACTCAACCCATCAAATACTGCCGCTATGTAGAAGAACCTTTGGGTCATGGTCATGCAGAGAGTATCCTGAGCCAGACATCACTTTCTACAATCAACTGATGAGTTCCCACTAGTGAACGGTTAGGGATAGGGGGACGGTTGGGTTATGGGACTACAACTAGCACAATTTTGACAACATTTTTGGGGTGGTTAAGACTTTAACAAGCAGAGAGAGAGAGAGAACGCAACCTACTTTAGTATTTTAGATCAAGGTTGAGCCAACGTTCTTGAAAGCTTTCCGAATTAATACATAAAAAGTCAAATGAGCCATCATGTCCGGGTTTATCCTGGCAAATTAAAGAGTAGCCCTGACGGGTTATTCTATACTCTACATCTAATGTCCCTTATAGGGCCAAAGTCAAGCTGAAGTAGGGCTGTTTGTTGATCCCAAAAGAAAAATATGAATAAATAAGCCTCATCTTTTATCCAACCAAGTCATCATTTTACATGGGACTACCGGGAGAAATTTAAACTCTCCCCCTGAAAAATAAAAAAAAATTAAAAAAAAATAATCATACTTTATTTCTCAATCCAAGAAGGGAAAAATAATATCAAAGTGCAAACCATACAACGTAGCAACACTTTTTTCAGTGTCCTTTTTGGGTGATCATATTAAAAAAAAAAAAAAAAAAAGAATTAAATAGAAAACATTTTATGAACAATTAATAAATTATAAAAAAACAAAAAACTATTTAACACTCTACACAGTCTTAAAAACAGGAATGCAAAATTGGAGCAGCAATACGTTTTCCGAACTTCAGATGAAGGTGATCCAAGATGTCCCACAAAAGGGGGGAGGGGATAGTCAGGGTGCTACCGGCCCAACGTCTACATACGGAGATCTGCAAGACCACAAAACCTACATCATGATAGTGGATGAGGCGAATATGGATGAAATTGGATCCACAGCAAGTGAACACATGTCTATTTCACGGGAATGAAGGAAGGTGACTGGGGTAGGAGGAGTGCTAGGAGGATCGCAACTTTGGAGAGCTGAATAATTAAGTTTTTACCAATGGTTTTGGCCAAAGACGAGTCCACATGGTCATCACTTAGAACACTTGCTTTTGACAAATCCGTGAGGAAACGGAAAAAAGAAGAAGTTCTGGGCGAGATGTTTGTCCTTCCAGCTGCTTGGTTTTAGGCATGGCAATTTTTTAATAAAAAGCAATGCATATTTTTTTTTTATTATTAAGGTGCCAGTTATATGACACACTGTTACCCCGATAGACAGACCAGTTCTATCCTCCTGCAAGCGGTGTTTGGCGGACAGACTGAGGTTTTTTGCCGTCGACCGGGGAAGATGCATAATACAAGTGTAAATAGAAGTCCGAAGAACCAGCTCCCGAACAGAAAAAAACAAAAAAACACAAGACGCTGCACTACGGCCCAGTAGGACCGGCCTCTCGCTTTGTAGCACTCTCCAGGGTCGAGTCATTGATTGGCATTTTGGGCTAGCACCTGTAGTCTTATTTCGTTGCACACGCTTCTATACTGATAAAGGATAAATCTTCATCTCGCAAGACACCACCTCCATAATGAACACAAGCAAATACTAAAAGAAAAATTGTAGGGCCTCCCGTCGCTTTGCAACGTCGTTGCACCAACGCGTCAGGCGACTTTCGTTTTTCACAGAGAAATCCTTTTTTAACGAGCCTCTACTTTTCTGTATCCGGCCTTTCTTCGAGCTCTTTGGGGGCTTGAACAGTCATTTCCAGAGCGTTGGGCTCTGTTGGTCCCTCCTTAGCCGTTGCCTCTGGAGCTTCTGTAGGCATCAGCGGGGCTGCAGCCACCTGCCGGAGGTAAACACAGGAATCAGTTCCACAACTTGAGGTTCAGAGACCGGGTTATACCAGTTATGTTCCATTATACTACAAGTGAATTGGGTTCTCCGTACACTATGGGGAGCAGGTGTATGGACAGTCTCTTTACCATTTTGATAAAGGAAGAGTTCAACATAATGAATAGTTCCACCTTCCTAATCCTTCTTCCTGTGTTACCGTTACTGCACCCTACTGCCATGACAGTCTTTATGGTGGTGTAATATTTCCCTATATCAGAGTTTCTCAACTAGTTTGCCGCGGCACAAGCCAAACAAAAATAAACCAAACATTTTTTTGGCAAGGCACCCAACTGAATCTTAGTGACGGATGACTCATCCATTGGTATAGACGCTGTAGGAGGCCACTGCTTAGGACTGCGGCTGCCGATAGTGTCTTACTAACGATGATGTCAAGGCTCAGTTGGGTGGCTGGCTGGTGCCTCTCTAGAGTGGGAAGACCACTGGCCTCAGAGTCTGCAGGTAGCCAATTCGTCCTGCAGCACACCACTATGGCCCCGCTGACACCTGGTTCATAAGTCATCACTTATTATATCATAGGTCATCAACTATATGACCCCTGGGGGGGTGGGGTACTGCAAGTGTGCTCTAATTCTGGGGGAAGGGAGTGGGTGTTGGGTGTTTTGGGTGCTGCCAGTATATAGTCATTTCTGAAGGGTGCCATCACTGACTTTATTAACTCTTAATGGGCAACTCTTAATGGCACCACAAGCATGTTTTATGTTTTTGACACGGGAGGATACAGAAGGTAGAAGAGCTTACAATCTATTAGGATATAAGGGAGGATACAGAAGGTAGAAGAGCTTACAATCTATTAGGATATAAGGGAGGATACAGAAGGTAGAAGAGCTTACAATCTATTAGGATATAAGGGAGGATACAGAAGGTAGAAGAGCTTACAATCTATTAGGATATAAGGGAGGATACAGAAGGTAGAAGAGCTTACAATCTATTAGGATATAAGGGAGGATACAGAAGGTAGAAGAGCTTACAATCTATTAGGATATAAGGGAGGATACAGAAGGTAGAAGAGCTTACAATCTATTAGGATATAAGGGAGGATACAGAAGGTAGAAGAGCTTACAATCTATTAGGATATAAGGGAGGATACAGAAGGTAGAAGAGCTTACAATCTATTAGGATATAAGGGAGGATACAGAAGGTAGAAGAGCTTACAATCTATTAGGATATAAGGGAGGATACAGAAGGTAGAAGAGCTTACAATCTATTAGGATATAAGGGAGGATACAGAAGGTAGAAGAGCTTACAATCTATTAGGGTGTAAGGGAGGATACAGAAGGAAGAAGAGCTTACAATCTATCAGGATATAAGGGAGGATACAGAAGGTAGAAGAGCTTACAATCTATTGGGGTATAAGGGAGGGTACAGAAGGTAGAAGAGCTTACAATCTATCAGGATATAAAGGGGGATAGAGAAGGAGGAAGAGCTTACAATCTACAATCACCAGTTTGGGATCAGTTGATAACCATCGTCATGGACTTGAGCAATGAGGACATACCACAGAAGTAATAGAAGTATTTGCAGAATACACAGATCTGCGATAGGCAGGAAGCCTCAGTGGAAACTATGTGAAGTGTTTGTCCCATTGTACACAATGAAGATCATTACGATTTTTGGAAAGCGGTTTGGAAATTCTAAGAGTTTGGACAAACTTACGGAATCTTGCGGCGGGGTGCAGTTTTCCGGCTCAGACTGCCCTGGAAGACTGATGGGCTCCTGTAAAATCCCTCTCCTGTCGAGCACGCTGCAAAGAGACAACGGGGGTCATTTGTCATCTTAAATATCACTGGCCAAGAAAAGTTTAAACATATAACATCATATAAAAACACACCTTGGCCATAGAGCGCATTACATTAACACCGGCGTTACTGAGAGCACATTGTGAGTATTAGCACATTCTGAATGGCACCAGTCAGGAAGCCGGGTGGCACGTTATGATCCGCCTCCCAGCTAGGAAGCCGGCTTTACTTATTCCTAGGCAGTCTGGGTCCTGACCAATCCGGAATCCAGGAGGCGGGTCATTACGTGCCACCCGGCTTCCCGATTGGTTAGGAAGGCAAGCTTCCTAGCTACAATTTAAGTCAGCTTCCTAGCCATTTAGGAAGCTTGGAGGCCACCTCCCTAATTGGAAAGGAAACCGGCTCCATGCTCCCTCGGCACTGTCGGTCAAAGGAAGTTCCGGTATCGGAAGTATTAAAGCATTTGGGGGAGTATGAGTACTTGCCCAAATACTCGGTATTGGCAGCGATATTGATATATCCCTAGTGACAACGCATACCTCCGTTAAGCTGCAGGTTGTCACCCTGTCCTGCATACTCTGGAGTCAATGCACAGTATACAGACACATTGTACTGCTATCACCACAGCAAAACTAATCTTCACCCACTGCTGGAGAGAAACCACAAAAAGTCTATAGGATGTGCACAGAGAGAGCACATGAAAAAGTCAGGGGGACAGGGGGAGGTAACAAACATAATAAAATGCTGTTATGCTTACAGGGCCTATTGACTCAACATGCATAGTGGTAAGCGTGTTGGTGCGATTGGGTGCTATTCACCTTCCAACAGACACACATTAACGTGTAGCCTGTAACGTGCGCTGTATGCACCAACCTTGGGCAGCACATCAGTGTGTTGTGCTGCACTGCAATGCATGTCTGTCAGCCAGCTGCTTTGGGGTGCCATGTAAGTGAATGGCATCGCGTTGCACCAACACACAACCTGCACTGCCACACATTGCACGGTAACGTCACAGCATGGTGTGAATGGGGCCCCAAGTGTCCTTTTGTGAGGGTTTAGTTCTACTTCATGTGTTTAGCCGTCTTCATCACTTAGTGCTCACTTTCCAAATACAACGCTGAGGGACGTTCACACCATGTCGTTGCTGCAACGTTAAATGATTTGCAGCGCAGAACAACGTGCAGCAATGCACCAAACGTGTTGTGGCGTGCCGGCAAACTATAAAAGAAAAAAAATTGCACGCACCATTTGTTGGCAGTGCAGCACAATGCACCGACGCGTGTTACTGCAACAACATGGTGTAAAATGGGGCTTTGCATGGCGTAAAAGCTTTTGCAAGTATCCCTAAAAGATGGAGCCTGCAGAGACGGCTGGATTGCAGCAACGTCTGCCAAGGACTACGATGATGTTTACAGGAAGAACAGCTGGATACGGTCCAGGGTCTTAAATTCCACAGATTTAGCGCCAGTGATGAAGACAAGCCAATACAGGAGTGCAAACACACCAGGATTCTTCTTCATCTGAACTGGCAGAGCTGATGCAACAAATTGACATACTCTGGGCCTTTACGTGCAGAGATCCAATCCTGGGAGGGACAGGTGCTCCCTGTAATAGTGTGCAGCAGCCCGTACCTCCCTATGGGAGGATGCTGCTACACGCAGTTACATGCAGACCTGACCTGTGCACCCATGTGGGTTTAGGTGCCCTGCGCAATTACACGAAGCACCAGTACCTCCCAGGAGAAGGTCTCTAGTAGAGCCCTCCGCCCCATGCTGGCAGAGCCCTCCGCCCCATGCTGGCAGAGCCCTCCGCCCCATGCTGGCAGAGCCCTCAATCCAGATTTTAGGAGCAGCTCTCTGTCAGACGGGGTATCCTCACTGATCCCTGGCGTTACCTAAAGAATGTGAGAGGGATAAGCGTGCCAAATTATATAATGCAAGACCAGCAAATCTTTATTGCACACGACAGGTGTGCACAAGAAAAGGCAACGTGTTTCGGGGGTTCACTGATCCCCTTTCATCAGGGAGAACGCGGAATAATTAGGCAATATCAGGAATGTAGTATCAGCAGATCCTCCGGTCCAGCCAGTCAAACAGCCTAATCCGAGCAGATCTGCTAACACACTATTACACATATCCCGTATATATCTGGCTCAGTTTAGCACATAAGCCCTGATGACGGGAGGCTGTTGAGCCTTCGAAACACATTGGCTTTTCTTGTGCCCTTCTGTTGCTACAAAGGTTTACTGGACTCACATTTGATCTTTGGCACTCTAATCTTTTTCACATATAAGCGTCGTCACCAGCAACAGGTGTCCTCATTGGAGGATTTTATCCTCGCCTCTTGTTCGGACAACGTACATTTTTTGGATATGCCCTTACTTTTTGTCTTGATAAGAATGGTCACCATGACATAGAGGATGACTCCCCAGCATTGACACAGATGGCAATGCTGGGGATGTGCATACACTTTCAGGTGTCATATACAGCTTTATGAACTTGTTGGACATACCATGCCAAAACCATGGGTATTAATGTGGAGTTGTACCCCAACAGCATTTGTGAGGGCAAGTACTGATGTTGGATGAGAAGACATGATTCCCATTTCACCCCAAAGGTGTTCAGTATGGTTGAAGTCAGGGCTCTGTGAAGGCCACTCGAGTTCCTCCAAACCAAATTGATCAAACCATGTCTTAATGGAGCTGGCTTCGTCTACTGGGCCCCAGTAATGCAGGAAGAGGAAGTAACATTACTCAAGGTTGGAAGGATGGAAGTGCACAGTTGTTTTAATGTCATTGTGTGCTGAAGAATTAACGATTTATTTGATAATTCTGCAGAACACATTTGGCCGTATAGTAGGTGTCCATATCATTTTTGACTATAGACTGAGTGGCCAGATTATTATGACCACCTGACGTTTGTAGGCAAATTAGCTATAATTTGGCGCTGAAGTTGCTAGAGGGCCAGACCATTATAAATAGGGAAGCAGGTTGGTTACCATGACAGTAGAAGTGATTTGTTTTATGAAGATACGGGGAAACAACGCGATTTAACAGCCTTTGAAAGTGGGATGATTGTTGGCGCTCAGAGCCATGGAGCGAGTATCAGCAAAACAGCAGAATTCGTTAAATGTTCAAGAGCAGCTGTTGTTAAAGTGTTTAAAGACCGGACTGTCAGCCGAAAATCTGGGTCTGAACGTGCGAATTGTGGCCGTCAGCGACTAGTCAATGTTAGGGCAGAACGGGGGAGGGGCAAGACTGGTACAAGACAACAGAAGGGCAACAGTGCAGTGTCAGATTCCTCGCATCACCTTTCATCATCTCGTGGAGTCACGGGGCGGCCCAACGAAGTACTGATGGGGTGGTTATAATAATCTGGCCACTCAGTGTATAGGTAGTTGTGATGGTCAGATGCCTACATACTGCTGGCCATAGAGGTAGGTGTGATGGTCCGGTGTCCACATACTTAGCCCTACAGTATACCTTTTGATCAATCTGTATCATGTTTTATAACATGATTCCAAATTTCCCCAATCCTGCCGCATTCAGAATGAAGGACTCAGCCTTTTCTAATGTGGAGTTTTGGCATGCACACAGCTACTAAGACAACCGCATTGACCGAGCTGCAGATTCGCCACTTGGATGAAGTAAAACATTGCAGCTGAGCCGGGTGAATCTAAAATTACCCCCAGTGTCCAGACACAGACAAGCGTTTGGACTTCCAGACTACGTTCTTTCTGCTATGGTGCAAACTTCACGGCAAAGTAGTAATATTTTTTTCACTGCCGATTATTAAGGAAAGACCAAAAATATATACAAAAATAATTAACGTCATTATAATTTGCTTTGCAATGCTGTATTCTGGCTTCATGTGAGAGTTCTGGTGCTATACCTGGGCTGAACAGGACCGCATAACACTTCGCAGCAGTTCTTCATGATGTTCACATGACTGTACGGGTTCTGTACGCGGTTTTTACCCGTCCAAGACCCTTTAATCTGTGGATGGCAAAGACAGAAATTGTTATCACAGAATGCTGACATGTAACGCGATTACCCTACAAAGCCAACAAATAACAGGCTGATATACACAAGTGATGAGCTAGATCAGTCTATATTAACTTTCTAGCTCTAGAAGAACCCTTGAAATAATTTTTAGGTCATCAAGGATTTCTGTTGAAATTAATCAAAAGGTCAGTGGGAAGAATGCAATTTCCACTGGTAGTCAGTGGAAGAAAAGTCCCCAATACAGTGGTAGTCACTGGGAAGAACACCCCCCAATACAGTGGTAGTCACTGGGAAGAACACCCCCCATTACATTGGTAGTCAGTAGGAAGAACGCCTCCCATTACATGGGTAGTAAGTAGGAAGAACTCCTCACATTACATGGGTAGTCAGTAGGAAGAACGCCCCCCATTACATGGGGAGTCAGTAGGAAGAACGCCCCCCATTCCATGGGTAGTCAGTAGGAAGACCGCCCCCCATTACATGGGGAGTCAGTAGGAAGAACGCCCCCCATTCCATGGGTAGTCAGTAGGAAGACCGCCCCCCATTACATGGGGAGTCAGTAGGAAGAACGCCCCCCATTCCATGGGTAGTCAGTAGGAAGACCGCCCCCCATTACATGGGGAGTCAGTAGGAAGAACGCCCCCCATTCCATGGGTAGTCAGTAGGAAGACCGCCCCCCATTACATGGGGAGTCAGTAGGAAGAACGCCCCCCATTCCATGGGTAGTCAGTAGGAAGACCGCCCCCCATTACATGGGGAGTCAGTAGGAAGAACGCCCCCCATTCCATGGGTAGTCAGTAGGAAGACCGCCCCCCATTACATGGGGAGTCAGTAGGAAGAACGCCCCCCATTCCATGGGTAGTCAGTAGGAAGACCGCCCCCCATTACATGGGGAGTCAGTAGGAAGAACGCCCCCCATTCCATGGGTAGTCAGTAGGAAGACCGCCCCCCATTACATGGGGAGTCAGTAGGAAGAACGCCCCCCATTCCATGGGTAGTCAGTAGGAAGACCGCCCCCCATTACATGGGGAGTCAGTAGGAAGAACGCCCCCCATTCCATGGGTAGTCAGTAGGAAGACCGCCCCCCATTACATGGGGAGTCAGTAGGAAGAACGCCCCCCATTCCATGGGTAGTCAGTAGGAAGACCGCCCCCCATTACATGGGGAGTCAGTAGGAAGAACGCCCCCCATTCCATGGGTAGTCAGTAGGAAGACCGCCCCCCATTACATGGGGAGTCAGTAGGAAGAACGCCCCCCATTCCATGGGTAGTCAGTAGGAAGACCGCCCCCCATTACATGGGGAGTCAGTAGGAAGAACGCCCCCCATTCCATGGGTAGTCAGTAGGAAGACCGCCCCCCATTACATGGGGAGTCAGTAGGAAGAACGCCCCCCATTCCATGGGTAGTCAGTAGGAAGACCGCCCCCCATTACATGGGGAGTCAGTAGGAAGAACGCCCCCCATTCCATGGGTAGTCAGTAGGAAGACCGCCCCCCATTACATGGGGAGTCAGTAGGAAGAACGCCCCCCATTCCATGGGTAGTCAGTAGGAAGACCGCCCCCCATTACATGGGGAGTCAGTAGGAAGAACGCCCCCCATTCCATGGGTAGTCAGTAGGAAGACCGCCCCCCATTACATGGGGAGTCAGTAGGAAGAACGCCCCCCATTCCATGGGTAGTCAGTAGGAAGACCGCCCCCCATTACATGGGGAGTCAGTAGGAAGAACGCCCCCCATTCCATGGGTAGTCAGTAGGAAGACCGCCCCCCATTACATGGGGAGTCAGTAGGAAGAACGCCCCCCATTACATGGGTAGTCAGTAGGAAGAACGCCCCCCATTACATGGGTAGTCAGTAGGAAGAACGCCCCCCATTACATGGGTAGTCAGTAGGAAGAACGCCCCTCATTACATGGGTAGTCAGTAGGAAGAACGCCCCCCATTACATAAGACAACTGCTCTATATGAATTTCAATGTTGTATGTTGCAGTTTGCCTGGAATTGAGCTTCGGCCTCTTCACAACGACTCCCTGTGGACCTTAGGGGTTCTTAATGCCGAGAGTTGGAGGCGGGCTTCCCAATGATGCGATTGCCGTGATTGGCTGAACAGGTTAAGCTAACCAGAACCAAAAACAAAAAAACTTTATGTACTGTACTCACATCCTCATTGGTGGTCTGGTTCAGTGATACCAGGAATGTATGGAATCCAGTTAATCCCACCACAGACCACAGTGTGAAGAAACAGATGACCACCTCCAGGACAGTGCGGAGGAGTTAAGGAACTGTAACAACTCTGGGAGAAAAAAAAAAACCAAACAAACACTAGTTGGCGCCAACTAGTGGCGGAAGAGTTCTAAAATCACCCCCTTTCGCGAACTACAGCCATGGGGCACACGCCAAATTGCCTATTTCTTGCATTGGGACTGCGTTGGGCAACGAGCTTTCAGTTACAGAGACAATGGTGTCCAGGGCAAATAGAGGAGTGACTATAACCCATCACCAGCCCACCCAAAACAAAGAAAAAAAATGGCTCTAGAGATTCACTTTAAAGTTAAAATTGGGCCAGGCGCACCCAGCACCATTTGTCAGTAGAAGGATATGTTCCCGGGCTTTCTTTCAGCGTGTTCAGGAAGCCGACTTCTAAGGAATCTGGAAAAAAAAAAAAAAATTACTTTTAAAAAGGATTATAAAACTGAACAAAAAAGCAACTATTTCACTAAAATGAACTGAGCACGAAGTCCACCCCTAACTGATAATGCTCCTCTAGGAACACAGAGACATGCTCCAATCAAATTAGAAAAAAAAAGCCTCCAAACGTCTACAAGGAACACTTCAGTGGTCTGTCCTGTGACTCCAAGTGCACCGTTTCATCTAATGAATCTAGTGCACCCCCATGGCTCCAAGCCTTCCCGTGCACCGCATGTCATTTGGTGACTGCAGTGCACCCCCCTGTCATCTAGTACGTTGCCGAGAGCCCCGTGACTCTTAAGTGCACCTTTTGACATCTAGTGACTTCAGTGAGCTCCCGAGTCTCCAAGTGCACCCGTGTCATCTAAATGTACCCCGTGTTATCTACTGTGCACCCAGTGACTCCATGTGGGCCCCATGTCATCTCGTGTGTTCCCCAGAGCCCTGCAACTCCAAGAGCACCTTATGTCATCTAGTGTGCTTCTGTGAGCCCTATGATTCAAAGTGCGTCCTATGTCATCTAGTGACTCCAATGAGCCCCCGGAGTCTAGTGTCATTTAGTGACTCCGATATGCCCATAGACTCCAAGTGTGCCACAAGTCATCTAGTGCTTTCAGATTGCTCCCTGTCATCTAGTGTGCTCCTGCGAGCCCTATGATTCAAAGTGCGCCCTATGTCATCTAGTGACTCCAGTGAGCTCCCGAGACTCCAGTGAGCTCACGAGTCTCCAAGTGCACCCGTGTCATCTAAATGTGCCCCGTGTTATCTAGAGTGCAACTGTGCACCCCGTGACTCCATGTGGGCCCCATGTCATCTAGTGACTACAGTGCACCCCATGATTCCAAATGTGCCCCTGTGTCTCCATGTGTGCCCATGTCATCTAGTAAATCCAGTGCACTTATGTCTCCAAGTGTACCACTATCTAGTGACTACAGTGCGCCCTCTGTCATCTAGTGTGTTTCTGTGAGCCCTATGTCAGCTAGGGACTCCAATGAGCTCCCGGAGTCTCCAAGTCTGTCCCATATCATCTAGTGTCATTTAGTGACTCCCAAGTGTCCCACAAGTCATCTAGTGTGCTCCTGTGAGCCCTATGATTCCAAGTGCATCCTATGTCATCTAGGGACTCCAGCGTGCCCCGCTTCATCTATTGTGCTTCTGTGCGCTACATGACTCCAAGTGCGCCCCATTTCATCTAGTGAATCCAGTGCGCCCTTATGACTCCAAGTCAGCCCATGTTACCTAGTATGCTCCTATGCACCCGTGTGTCTCCACACAGCTTCTGATACTCTCCTGGATGATATGGACGGTCTCGCTCTCTCTCAGTGGATACAGATCTTGGTCTGTCACACGATCAGAACTTTAAGAGCGATTTTTGGTCTGTGGTCTAAAGTGCAAACATTAAACACACTGCAACACAGACCACTGCGCTAGGAACAGGCTCTTCGTTTTCAATGGACTCATCTAGGGTTGCACCAATACCGTTTTTTTTTGGTATCGAGTATTGGTAACGATATTTTGCTTTCGGTACTCGCCGATACCGGATACTGATACCGGTGCTTCCGCTGACATGGAGCCGGCTTCCTGAGCAATCAGGAAGCCGGGCAGCAGGTACTAACACGCCGCCCGGCTTCCTGATTTCCGGGGAAGCCGGCTCCATGTTTTGCCGCCTCCATTCCCAGCCAATTAGCAAGGCAGCGGCTTCCTGATTGGCTGGGAAGCCAGCTCCATGCTGATTGGCTGGGAGGACAGCTTTCCGGCCAATCAGCATTGAGCTGCCTGTTCGGCTGGCTCGTTGCTGATTGGATGGGAAGCCAGGAGGAGGGTCATTACTCGCTGCCCGGCTTCCTGATTGCCCGGGAAGCTGGCTCTATGTTTCCCTACGGCACTGCCTGCCAGAGGAAATCTTCCTTTGACCGGAAGTTCTAGTATCGGGGAAGGTACCGAAGCATTTAGGCGAGTAGGAATACTCGCCCATATACTCCATCTGCATTAGTACTAGTACCGTTGCATCCCTAGACTCAATATATGAACAGAGCTAACATCCTGCATACTATAATATTTCTGATCCCCAGGTGGAGGTCGCATTCTGCTGCAACAAAATAATTAAAAAGTAAAAACAAAGAGGGACGCACTCAGGACGACATAGACGATGTTGAAGGCGAATATGTAGATTGTCAGAAGGGACAAGGACAGGATGAAGAGGTAGAAGTATCGATAATTCCTCTTTCCCACGCAGTTCCCCACCCATGGACAGTGATGGTCAAAACGCTCTGCGGAAACATGGAAAACACAAAAAGATACAATGTAAATATTTACAAAAAGCGCCAAAAGCATAAAAACCAGTACTTTTTTCTGCCACTAGATGTCCTCAAGTCTCATGGCCAGAATCCTTTAGCCCACTTCCTCTGAGCTCAGATCATCTTGGACCCACCCCCAGCCTGTGACTGGACAGCGAAATGAGAAACAGCACAGTGATAGGCTCACGTCACTGTAACTCAATTTTCTCCTTTTATCAGCATGGCTCTTGCCAGCACATGAACCCATCGGTTCCTTGTGCTGCTTCTTGCTCTCAGAGACCAGTCCTGCTGTACAGGCACTGCAAGAGGCTGATACTAGGCCAGATTCAGGTACTTACAATGCTGAGATTTATCAAATACATTGACTGATGTATTCAGTATTAGAGAACTGCATTAATGTGGGTCTAATAAGTCTGTATGGAGTATCTGTATCTGAAGTATCTGTAGAGACAATCCAATTACAATGTAATAATGCAAAAAAACACTTGGTTTAGCTATAACATCAATAAAAAGCATTTATACCTTTCGCTGAGCTTTTTATTCTGTGGTTCCTGCTCAGAATTGTCATCAAAACAGAGTGGGGCTGGGTGGGAGGGGGCAATGCGGCAACGCTGACTGCGGGAGTACAGGAATGCGTGTGTCGGCATGGCATCCGGTATCACCAAGAGGCAAGCTCAGAGGAGCAAACCATGCCAGGAAACGCATTGGCAACTCCGGTGACTCTCACTTTGGCAAATAAAAACCAACTGGACCCAATGAAAATGTATTTGGCGCTCTCACTTGCTGGCCATTTTTTTTTACATTATACACTAAGGAAGAAGTGTTCTTACTCCTATGCTGGAACATTGCCCTCCGCTGGAGAGAGTCCAGCGAAGGGCAACAAAACTAATTAGGGGAATGGAGGACCAGAGCTATGAAACGAGGCTTCTGACCTTAAACATGTTTACGCTGGAATTAAGGAGATTAAGGGGGGATATGATTTTCATGTACAAGATGTTCAATGGTGACAGCAACATTGGCAACAAACTGTTTGAGATTAACTCCATTACAAAGACTAGAGGCCACCACCTAAAGTTGGTGGAGAAAAAATTCCAGCACAATGGGCGAAGAGGGTTCTTTATAGTAAGAGCGGTTAAGGTCTGGAACTCGCTGCCATCGGCAGTGATTTCAGCCAAGAGTGTAGATTTGTTCAAGAAACGTTTGGACAATTTCTTGAGGGACCGTAATATCCAGGGATACCAGTATCCCTAAGAATGAGATGATGCTCGGACCTATATGGGTTGGACTTGATGGACGTATGTCTTTATTCAACCCCAAATACTATGTAACATTACCATTTACAATAAGGAACTTTATAGGAGGTAATTGGTAAAGTGCAGAATGGTTAGGAGGTCACGATAGGGGAAAACCATATTTATACACACTATTATGTACACAAAATGTAAATCTACTCACCAAAGTATCAAAAATATTGCATTATTATTGACATTTAGGTACATTTTAGTATACGGCCAAAGGTTTGTGGACACCAGACCATCACACCTATATGAGCTTGTTAGACATCCCAATCCAAAACCATGGCCATTAATACTGTGCGTCTATACCAGGCTCCACTCTTCTGGGAAGGCTTTCCACAAACATTTGGATGGTGTCTATGGGAATATGTGCCCATTTATGGAGGTACTGGTGTTGGATGAGAAGATCTGCATCATAACTGGAGCTCCAATTCATCCCAAAGGTGTTCAGGAGGATTGAGGTGAGGGCTCTGTGCAGGACACTCAAGTTCCTTCACACTAATCTGGTCAAGCCATGTCTTTATGGAGCTGGCTTTGTACACAGGGACAGTCATGGTGGAACACAAAAGTACCTTCACCGGACTGTTACTAAAAAGCTGAAAGAGCATGTTTGTGTATGTTGTAACCTTAACAGTAGCCATTACGGGTAATGGCTCAAGCACTTGAGCTTAATTATTGAAAGGGTCATCCACATACTTTTGGTCCTATATTCACAATATTCCCATTTGAGTACACTGTATACCCAACATTCCCATCTGGGTACATTGTATAGTCATTATTCCCATTTGAGTACACTGTATACCCATCAGTCCCAGTTAGATACATTGTTTAGGTAACATTCCCATCTGGGTACACTGTATACCCAACATTCCCATTTAGGTAAATTGTATACCGAACATTTCCATATGGATAGATTGCATACCCAACATTCCCCTTAGGTACATTTTATACCCGACATTGCTATCTGCATACACTGTATACCCAACACTCTCATTTGGGTACACTGTACACAGACGCCTCTAGTTACTCACCCACACAGTTATCGCAGATACTGCAGTGCGATGCTCGAGGAGGCCGGAAGATTTTGCACGTGTAGCAATATTTCAGCTTAACGATCTGATTGTTGATCTGGACATTTTTAATACGAGGTGGCGGGCGCTGACCTTGCGGCACGTTTCCATTGGCTGCCTCTGTAGGAAGACATCAAATGCAAAAAAAAATCATCTTTACGGCCAGAGGTGGCTTTGCCATTTGGCATAGTAGGCCTGCCTCTTTGGAAGGCAGAGGGCAAATGGTGGCCTGTCCCTTGTATAGTTGATATTAACAGTTTTTTCATCAGCAGCAGAATTACAGCCATTTTATACAAGCTAATTTATAGGTTGTCAGGGTATTCTAAGCCAGGAAAGGACCAACAATATGTTCTGTGGGAGAAGAGGTACTCCTAGCAGAGGGGTGTTGCTCCGGGTGCTGAACTTGGTGTGCCTGGTGCTACAAATTCATGCCTGGTTAGTGCTCAGATGTGCAAAGGGGTCAAATTTTAAATGAGCAATTTAACCATTTCATAAACAGGCCAAATAAAAAGTAGCATAAAACATAGAAGATAATGTATATTCTGCTGTCCTGAAGGCATTTCTGTAGCTCCCCAAATCCTACAGGTGGCGCTGTTCACTACGCAAATTTCCCTTCCAGACTTAGAGCATTGTTAGGAGTTTAGACGCCCCATTGTTCCCCTTGTACAAGATACCTTTAGGTCCTATTTGCATGCATACCTTTTGGTGCCTTGAATCCTAAATTGCACTGCGTTAAAATAGACCCTCCATGGCAAATGGAACGTCCTTTTTTCGGCCAGTCCACTACCCCCGCCTTCAAAAAGCTATTTGTAAATTAACTGCTCGCATAGAGAAGCCCAACTCCCCCCCCTCTTCCCAAAAAAAGAGAGCCCCAGCCTCCAATGATTTCGGAAGGCATGGGTGACATCACCGTCCTCTTGGCACTGCTGGAAGCTTGATATCCTGCGAGCATGCACTTCCGGCTCACATCACATGCAACAGGAAGTGAGAGGAAAATACTCCAAAGTGAGGGAAAGCCCCTCTCAGACGGCGGTCAGTTGAACAGGTGTCCCCTTTCAAAGGACAACTCCTTTATTCCTGTTCCAGTGACAACTCAAAATTGTAGATTTTCCCATCACTTCCAGTCCATGTGATAATGGCCGCCAGGAGAAGCAACACGTCACCAGCACACCAGAGAGACAAACGTCTTTTATTAGCGCATATTGTCACAGTGATAGCAACGTTATCGGGGCCGAGCAGGGTCCCCTTCATCATGGAAGGGTACCCTGCATGGCCCCAAATGGTTTGTTTGGCCCATCTCTCTGGTGTCCTGGTGACATCTTGCTTCTCAATTAATCTCAGAGGCACCATCCGCACTCATTTCAGCACCCATCCTCAAGGGGTTTCCGGTAAGGGGTTTCCGGTAAGGAGTGCGGTAGGATACTCTTTGGGAAGGGACAAATAAAAGCCGCAGACAGACCGAAAGAACACCATAAAAACTGACCGGGGTTCTAATCCTTCCACAATGTATCCAAAATGAAAAAAACCAAAACAGAATTAGCTTTAGATGCACATTATACTTCTACATGTGCTGCGAACATTGTACCTGCTGGGCTCAAAGACTTTCAGGGTTATTTACAAAGCTGCCAAAGTCAGCCGAATGAATAACCGAAGTGAGCCGAAGCGCTGGCAGTTCTCGCTGCCGTTCGTCCCTTTTTCTCATAGGAGCCGAACGGAAGTGAGCGAATAGATGAATGCCACTGAGTGGCATCCGGCTCTGTTATTCTGCTCGGCACTTCGGCCCGGTCGAGCCGAAGCATATGCCTTTGGCTCGGCCGAGCTGCTGAATCTTCGGCTCATTCGCGACTAACCCCCTTTGTAAGCGATATACAACATTTTTGCCCCCTTTCAATAACTGGACCGAGTATATAATGTAATAGGGAAATACAGAAAAACACTCGAGTAGAAAAAAGCAGCACATTCACTGTGAGCCACAATGCCGTTTACAGAAAAGTGCTGAGGTCACTCTAATGAGGCTTGAAGGAAAATATTACAATGCCTAGCGTGCAAAATGATATTTCTGGCCTGCGCTCCCTGCGGATGTCTTCCCGTGTAAGGCTAGCGGTATGACTCACACAGACATGGCATGATAATGGCAGAGCCCTCCGCTTTCCTGATCAGAGTGACAGATGTTTAAGGAGCTCATCTGACACCATTCTACTTCCAATCAAACGTGAATCACTCCATGCGCAAGGGAGAGAGAGCGCGCAAGGGAGAGAGAGCGCGCAAGGGAGAGAGAGCGAAAGAGATGAAAAAAAGATGAATATGCGAGCAAAAGACAGAGCAGGCGGATGAGCGAGCAAAAGACAGGCAGTGTAGGCAGATGAGCGAGCAAAAGACAGAGAGTTGGCAGATAAGCTAGCAAGAGACCAAGAGCTGGTGGGCAAGCAAACAAAAGATAGGGAGCTGGCTGGCAAACTAGAGCTGCAACCAACTAATTGATAATGTATTATGAGAATAGTTCTCAACTATTCTCATCATCGATTAGTTGGTTGGATCCCCAAGCTCTCTCCTCCACGCTGGGAGGAGGGAACAGCAAGCAGTGGGCGGGTGCAATAGCAAGACTGCTATTGGCTATTGCCATTTTAAATGGCCAATAGCAGGCTGGCTATTGCACCAGCCCACTATGTTATGTATTTACATTCAGCTGCCATCTGTGGAATCTTGCCACCGGCAGCTGTCATTCCCGGGCTGAAGCTATTCAAGTGCTATGTGCTTACAATTAGGGATCCACCGATACCAGTGCCGATACTTGGCATTTTCATGAGCACTACAAGGGTTGTAGCGGTTGCAGCTGGGACCGGGCTCTGGCGCTCCACCACTGTCCTGTAATTATTAGTCTGTATTGTTTTAGAAAAACTGTCACATGGCAATAAAAATGTGTCGGTACTTGTATCTGTGAGGACTTGGACATGTATCAGTTCTCGTACTCGCAAAACTGGTATCGGTGCATCACTTATATATAGATATATAGATGTACAAATCCCGGGAGCTCCGTGTGCTCCTTACACATGACAGACGCCTCCTAACTTTTGAATTTCCCTCTAGTCCAGTCTTGGAGCTCAAAAAGTATCTGTGCTTGTACCGAGTACTGTACTTGGTATTGGTGCATCCCTAGTTACAATACAATTATTAAAAACAAATGATAAAAAGGTGGGGGGAGTCATTTTCGGTTTCGGCCTGACAAATTCTGCTGCGGGAAGTGCGTTGCAGGGCCGTTCATTTCAATGGCACCCCAAAACGTGTCTCCCACCCACAGTGCGATCACCCGCACTGGAACGCCTGGTACCGCTGCAGTGCGATTACAAAAAATTGTGCATAGTTTAATTCCGAAGTCCACTGTATGTTTGTAACACGGCATATTTATTTGTTTTTTTTAAACCCATTAAAAATCGAAAAAAAAAAATCAAAAAAAAAAAATCAGCCAACTAATAGATTATGAAAATAATTAGTTGCAGCCTTATGGCAAATTAACAAGAGATAGAGAACTGGTAGATGAGTGAGCAAAAAACAGGTGGAAGCTGGTGAGCGAGTCAAACAACAAAAAATAAAATAAAAAAATAAAAAAGGTAGACAGAAAGCTGGCAGGCGAGCAAAGAAAAAAAGGTAGACACAGAACTAGCGGCGGAGCGAGCAAGACAGAGAGCTGGCGAGCAAAAGGTAGACAGAGCTGGCAGGCAAGCAAAACGGACAGAAGAGGTGGGAAAGCAAAACATACAAGCAGTAGGCAAAACACATGAAAGAAGGCACAGAAGATAAAGAGAGCAAGTAATGGAGAGAGGAAGAGAGACTTTAGCTCATCACTGATAACAAGCGATTACTCATCCAGGATAGTAATGATCGCCTTATACTGCACTTAACAAGGATTCATTGTTTCCGACCAACATGTTAATTTCCGAGGGAGAGATCATGTAAATTATAGGCTTCAGCTCGTTTCCTTTTATCTATTACAGTATACAGAGATACATTCTTTTCTGGCAGAACATAATACTCCACGCCTCTCTTCCTAAATATAGACTGTCATTAAAAAAAAATAAAAAAAAACACATTCCAGAGCTGTGTGAACTTTAAGGGACGGTCTTTGGGTGGATAAATTGGGGCCGCTGACTGCAAAAGCACGCGGCTAAGAAAAAGTTTGTGTTAAGTTCCATCTATTCAATAAAGTTTAGCAAATTATATTGATTTACCAATATAAAAAAAAAAAAAAAAATTATTTATATATAATCTCTTGTCTTG